TAATAATTTATTTATAAATGTACTATACATTTTATAATATACAAATTATAATAAATTATTGTTTTCCATTGTAAAAAAAGCATTAAATTTTATTGTAGTGGTTAAAACGTTTAGTAACCAATAATTGTCACTGGAATAAATATTCCACGTAAATAATTGTTTGTTATTTATTGTTAAATGATAAATATGAAAAACAGTACAAGTGCCTCCCGTCGGTTATAACGACACTCTTCGGACCATTAGCAATTTTTTTCTAATTGTAGTTAATATAACGACATCAAAGGAATAAAAAAAAAAAAATAGTGTGTTGAAAATATTGTAATTTGTTTACAACTATTTTTATAAATTTGTAAAAGACAAATTTTTTCGAATCTTCACAAAAATATTTTCGGTGACTTAATTTAATTGTAGAAAGCCGAGCCGTAGAACTAATTTTGTCTGATTTTGAAGTCTCGCAGTGAACTCACCCAGAAACTAAAACAGAAAATGAATATTCGGGTATATTTTATTATGTAATACATTTTTTATACTTGCAATACTCAGAAGACTATAAATTAAAAGATTCAGTTATTGTAATCGTATTTCGTGTTTAATTAGCGCTCTTTATCTCAAAATTGATTATATTAGAGACAGACTCTTAAACCTTTCTATATAATGCAAGCTTAAAATTATAGGATCAAAATTTTGAATAAATAATTTGAAATATTTAAAATAATGAGGTAATAACGATTTTCTCCACTTTTCTGACAATTAGAATTCGTATTAAACTATCAGATTTATTTTATTTATTTTATTTTATTTTATGTGAAGTTGGCAAGATTGTCAATAAAAACATGTTCGATACAAAGAAAGAAACAGTTTAACTTAGAACCTGTCATCCAACAAGGCCAAAGCCAAGCCAGACCCTTTACTTCTAATTATATGTACCCCTAGACCTATCCCATATTACGACCAACAGAGGATACTAAAATTGAACTGGAAAGAAAGACTAAACTAATGAAACAGGAGCTATACAATTAAAGTTATAGAGAACTTAAACATTGTAAATAAAATTATCGTCTATACATATAGGTGAAGTATAATTAATAACGTTATTAGATTCTAAATGTTTATAAAAGGACCACTATGTAAAAAATTAGATGAGGAAAATAAAATATATAAAAAATCTTTATGAAGTTTAAAATTTCTAAAATCATTATAAGGATTAACATAAATATTTTCATAATTACGCCGCGTATGGATAGTACTATCTATTATACCTGCTTGATTAGCGATAGTATGCTTTTTTAGCGATAGTATGCTTTTGGATGATAAATTTCTGACGATCATCTTCCAAATTTATTCACTTTTTCGCTTAATTTGTAGTTTGTCATACGATCTACATGCATTTTTTCATAATTTCGGAAATGCTCAATGTGAACTTTTTTGATTCAATTTTANAAAGTTGTTCAGGCAAGTTGAAACTACTTGAATATTAGTTTTCATAAGATTTCATTTTTTTGTAGCTGTATTAACTTTAGAACACTTATTATAGCTTATGTCATTATTTTAAATTATAAAAATTAATTTATATTATTGGCTAATTATAATCACATGATACTATTTGATTTAATAATTTAATAAAATATTATTATTTAAAATTAAATTCATATAAATGCAACTAATATTAATAATTATAATTTAAGCAGTAAATTCATTGACCAATTCTTGTAAATTCTATGCTCAAATTATGTAATTTCTTTGATCAAATCAATATAAATTCAGTATAAATTATGGTCAATCATACAAATGGTGCATTTTTGTGATATGGAATTGTGCATTTTCCTATATCCTTATATATAGTTTAGATACATTATTTTTAAGAAAAAATTGTATAAATCTTATTAAAACATGATTTTTTATAGGGTCTAATTATAATAAAATTTTATTATTCAGTAACAATTCAATTTATTTATATCAAAGAATTTTTTTAATTATAAATGTTATATTTGGGGGACGAAGTCCCCCAGCAAATCGCATATTCTAGTTATTATTGGAACGAGGGAAGTCTTTATGGTAGTTTTTGAAACTCCTTTTTGAAAGGCCCATATCAGAACGCATGATTTTCCATTTGTCGTTACATTTTTTCCAAATTTCTGTCTTAAAGGTATTGCTACAATCATGGACGAAGGGGAGGAGTCTTTTTAATATAGTTTTGATGGTATTAAAATGGTTACAGATGCTGACAAGATCATTAGTAATATATGATCTGCCACCGGGTGTATAGCTAGGTTCATTTCGGAATGCCCAACGAAATGTTGGTGAGTATTTAACGGAATCTGATATAATGAGTGAATGTTTATCAGTATGTTGTCGTATCAAATTAATAAGTTGATTTCCAAGTCGTATGAAGACGTCTTTTATAGTTTCTTTGAGGTCAGGACATAACTAAAAATGATTATTTGTTTCTGCTTGCTTGTTACAAAGTAAACATTGAACGTTATTATTCAAAGGGCTGGGTAGTTACGGTTCATTATATCCAAAGTAGGAAGAGTTAAAGTTGAGCATCAAATTTTCCATTTGGTGTCTTTGGTATGTTGAGGACTAGTTGTATCTTCGCGCCTGTTAAAATTAAACCATTTGGAGGTAAACAACCAATTTATTAAATTATTTTTTGTTGCATTTTTTATTTCCAATAACGAAGGGTGGTTGATATGGTTTGTAATTTGAGATCGTGCCAATACACTTTCGCACGTCCTTGTCTAAAGGTATCTCCACGTTCCATAATAATGTGAGCGTTTGCGTTGGAAGATGTTCATGTTTAATCTTAGTTGAATACAGGTGTAAACGAAGGTGTAAATGACCTACTTTTGCTGATATCATTGAAGGTATGTAATCTGATGTTCAAAGGATAAGGTTTTGATGTATGGTGAATAGACGACCATAAAATGTTGTTGTTGATTTTATTGAATCTTCTAGGAGAAATAGAATTGAGGTATTTAGATTTGTAGAAAGACGGAATCAATAGCAGCCTGTGAATCTGTGTATATATTGATCACTCCATTAGGTGGACAAACAATTAAGGCCGTTAAAATTGCCATAGTTTCCGCTTTAGTTGACGAGGAGAAGTATTCTAATGAACCATTGTATGCAATGTTCATATTAGTGAGGTTAGCTGTAGTCCAACCATAGCCCATAGGAAATTCATTTTGAGCAAATTCGCAATCATAAGCTCCATCAGTATAAATTTCTAATTCTATAAAAGGAGCCAGAACGTTAGATAAATTCTGTAAATCTTTCACTACATTGTCATTATCGACAAGTTGAGAAACCAATTTATGGTTAGGTGGTATACGAGTATCCAAAGAAGGAGGAGCGCATGGTGTAAAATTCATCGAAGGAATATGACCATGTTGGATAAGATGATCAATATACGCTAAAAGACGATGATGTGGATGACTATATTTGAGTACATTAAAGGTACAGTATTATGTCTCTGTGTAGGAGCAGGGACTGCCAGTTGTTTTTCTTTTTAGTGAGCGTGTCTACAACGATTAAGTCAAGGTGCTTGATTTGAATAATACATTTTGGTTTTAGATTTCCAACATAGTAACTAAAATGCTGGGAACAACCTTGGCATGGAACGATGGTTATAGTTTGGGAACAAGGTGTTCTTGGTTGAGGATTCGAGGAAACATTTTGATATTTCCAATGTTCTGGATAAGAGACTGGTGTAGAATAATTAGGATAATGTGTGATACTCAATATTTTTCCATACACTATATCGGTAATATTAGGAACCCAAGCGGTAACCCATTTAGGTTTTCCTTTCATATGTTGCGGTTCATGATTAACGTGGTAAAGCAGGTCACGTAATCATGGGGTTTTGTATTAAAGGCGTGTTGATGATGAAGTTAAGTCGACCATCGTTGGTAAGCGTAATATGATCTTGTAAGAATTTATACCATCTAGGCATTCTACCTTTCTTGTTTTGGAGTTGTTCTTTAATTTTTTTGTATTCAAGAAGGTACGCGGAGTCTATCGTGATGATTTGATCTAAAAACATTAGGTAATTAACTTCATAAAAAAGGAAATTGATTGAGCGATGATCTCTCACCGAAATATTTTTTGAGATTCCAAATCATTTATATCGAAATAATTCAAAGTTATTAATTGAATGAACATAATTTAGAAGAGTTGTTTGCACGTTCGCACTTACTAATATTGTGGGAGAAACTATTTTGTGATTGACTAAACATTTCGTCAAATTCCGAAACTTGCTCAAACTTCCGAAAATATACATAAAACCTAGCCAATAATCATAAAATTTATATAGCCACAATAATTTTATTGAACGCCTCTACATCTAAATTTAATATTGCTCAAATTTCCTATTTTCCAATATTTATTCCACATTGTTATATATATCCATACTGTGCCGCAAGTTGTGATATGGAAAATCAGCCAATAAATTTCTTTTTAAGTTACGTAGTTACGGAAATTTCGGAGATTTCGCCCGTCTCGGTTTCTCTTAAAACATTACTTAATATTGATCATGTATTTTGCAAAGGATTTTTTTGCAAATACAATCAAAGCTAGCATGGAAAGATCATAATGGCTACTGGGATAAGTTAAATTTTACTAAAAACATAGTTTTTTTTTTTTTTGAAAATAAATATTATTACAATTGAAATTAAAACAAAAAGAACGAAAAATTAAAAATTTGATACGGAAGGGTTATGAAAATACATATGTAAAAATGATTTTATAACTAAACCTATAGTCGATGTAAAATAGTTACTATAATAAATGTATTTTATTATTAAACTTATAAAAATTAATATACTAAATTAAAAACTATATATTAACCGTTAAAACATATTATAGTACTATAATAGAACAAAATAATTAGGATCAATAAAAAAGTTTGAAATTTTGGTTCCGTAATTCTCAACTAGCAAAAAAAAACAAACAGCAAAAATGATAGAGATTAGAGAAGTGTAAAAATTATTGTATTTCGCCAACGAAAATCGATAACAGCTTCTATAGCTGAAATTATCATGCATGGCATCATATTCTCATACTTAGCAACCCTTGCAAAAGGACTTAATAAGTGGGACCAGAGAATATATAATTAAGTTTTTCAGATATCATAATCCGCAGATTTTTTACTTTCTTTTTAATTCCTTGTAAAACAGGTATTTTGCTTTCCTTTTTAAATCTTTTGTTTAATTCCATGTACAGTAAATCCGGGAAGGGTACTAGACGTAAGGTCGATGGTGACGTAAATAGTAAGTAATTCTAATTTATACTAACACTATTAAATTAATAATTGTCCGAAGCATAGCGTGGGACTGACTCGAGACCCATGCAATGTCCGTCTGTCACGCCGCGTGTATAACCAATGAAAATTTAAGATCAGGTGTGTAGAAACTAACAACAATAACAATAATGAAATTTTAAGAATGTGTAACATTTAACATTTTAGACATGAACAGGACCGTTGAACAGCCTACTGCGTTACTATGTTACTATTTTAAAAATCTTCATCGACGCTTCGGACGCTCCAACGGTCTCCGTTACTTAGTATAAGATGATAAAATTTATAATATTGTATAATTCCATGAAGTTTTTATTATACCATATTAAAATTAGGTATGATTTTGAGTTAAATGCATACGGGTGTTACCTTATCCAATAACTATAATTTATTTCATATTTACACAGCGTTGGTTCCGCGGTTGTTTTTGGAAGTCAAGTAAATTTACACTTTATTTTGTTATCACTTTATTTTGTTATATAAAAAAGAGCGACTACGACTATGAACGTTAGTTTTTCAAATAAGCGTGTACAGGTGTAAATTAAAAATTTTGAGTAAGTCATTTTTTTCATTCATCAAAATTACGATTATTTTGATCAGCTGAACGGACTAAAAAGGAAATAATCAAATAATCATATGATTACAGAATTCTGCAATCCGTTAATAATCATTATGCATATTTTATATCAGACGTTTTGATTCAAAGTACAATCTTTGGGCATTCTTCTTATCTTTTATTTATCTAATAAATAAAATATTTTTTTTTTTTTTTTTTTTTTTGTAGATTCGAAAAAAGTCATCCCTTAAAAATAATACGTTTCGGATTATAGGCAATAGGGATGGCAACGGTCGGTTATGGTCGGTTATGGTCGGTTATAATCAGTTATAGAAATTTAAACAGTCGGTTATGGTCGGTTAAAAATCGGTTAAACGGTCGGTTAAACGGTCGGTTATACTATTTTACTTAAATAATTAGTCAAATGGTCGGTTAAACGGTTAAAAATGGTCGGTCAAATGTTTAAATGGTAGGTCAAACGGTCAGTTAAATGTGGTTAAACGGTCGGTTAAACGGTTATGATTATAACCGTTGCCATCCCTAATAGGCAAGTAAAAACTTTATTTTATCCGATTTGTTGTATTTTAGAATATGATCGCACTTAATAAGTGAATTAGTATCAATTAGATTTTAATTTTGCATTGGAAATTTAAAGGTTGCGTATTTTTTCAAGTCGATCAGCAAATAATTATGTCATATAATAATAATATATTTATATTTTTACCTGTAAGTTAATAAAACCATAAAAACTACAAATGAAAACATTTTTAGGACGTTGCTTATTAATAACATGAATAGATTGAATAGACGACGTTTTCATTCACTAAAAATAGGTTAACCAAAGTAAGAAGGCTAACAAAGGTGATAACCATGATTATTTACCAAATTAGTAATTATAGTTTATCACTTAGTATTGTTCGTGCTGAAATTTGATAGTAAATTTAATGTTACACGTAGTTACTCTTAAAAACAAACATTTTCCGCAATTATGCGCAGTATGTCTAAATTTACCACTAAACTTTATTGAGCAAATTTTATGTAAATCGTTACGTAATAGTCATGAAAAAGTCACAGGAACATTTCTATGTTTATTGTCTCTCAAAATAAATAAAAACATTAAATAAATAAAATACAAATAAATCGGAATCATCGGAAATGAAATAACAAATTTCAAATTATCACTTAGAGTCCCACTCATCTGTAATCATCATTTAAGAGATAATTGATTGAGTGCCTTGGATCACGAGGATTAATTGTGATGATGGCGTTATTTAATATATAACTTATATCCATTCTATAATCCCTATTCAAAAGGAAATCGATTGTATGCCTGGGATCAGTGGTTCTGGTGGTTCTATGAAGATATTTAAGGTGTTACTATCACGTGATTATGTATAAAAATTCACGTGCGTGGTTAATTATCCAAAGAGAAGAGCTCACCTTCGAGATCTTCCCAAAAATCTTTTTATACCTGTATAATAAAAAAATATTCAATATTTTTGTTGCGTTTTATTTAGAAAAGTTATATACTTTGCATTTACCGTTAATCACGTGTTTTATTCCCTGTAATGCTTTTTTTATAAGTAGAATTAAAAATAGCGTGAAAAAGAGCAGAAAGATTAACGGGGAAAATTGTATAACTAGCTATAAACAACGTTTAATAAAAAAAAATATAATAAATACACATATAAATTTTTAAAAAAAATTATTACAAAAAATTAAAAAATAAAAAGCACGAAAAAAAGTATTCAAATACATGTGTACTAGATGGTCTTTCCATGTTTAATAATTTATTACTAATCGAAAAAAAAAAAATTTTTAAGTGTCAAATTATGGTCGAAAGTAGTTTTTTTTTTTTTTGGGATGAAATTCAGAAAAACATCAAACATGCCCATTATTTAAAAAATCTAATATATATATATAAAAAAAAGAATATTCTTTTTTATTGTGAGAAAAACCGTGGAAATAACAAGATTTTCATTGTTCGGAAATATACGTAGACTTCTCCCGCTCTCCCGCGATGATGTTAAATAAAAAATTCCTGAAGTAGAATAAGCAGATTCTCGTGATCGAAAACACCAAACAATATTAATCTAATTAACTATTTTTAATTTAGATTTAAAAATTTTAGGTAAGATTTTTATAATATATCAAAGAAATGGTTTGAACTTTTTTAAGTTTTATACTTCATATGATACATAGACATAGACGGTAAAAGAAATGTAAATGGATCCTGATATTTATTTTATCCTCCTGATGCGAGTGCATAATCGGTTTTCTCCGTTTTTTAGTTTCACATGTCGATCTCTTTATTTCTTAAATTATATTTTTGTAAAACATTTATTATAAATAAAGTCCACATGACTGTTCTTGTTAATCACGAGCCATTACACAAGATGAAAAGAGACTGAATGTATGAAGAGATGGAAAGAAAATAATAGGAAAAAAAACAATAAAGTTTCAAACTTTTTTTTTAATAAATTGTTAAATGTTACAGTATCATATGCATAATATTGCATGTATGCTAGCGGTATTAAGTTATAAGGAGTTATAAGGAGTTATAAGGTATACTATAGAATACAATTTTTAGGATTTTCGATTTTTAATTTAATCGTATTAATTATGGCGTTGTGATATTATTACAATTAAATACATGTCAAATTTTACGTTATTAATACACAGTGAAATTCGATATAACGGAAACCCGATAAACCGGAACTGGCCTTATAATGGAACTTTTTTCTGGAACAAAATCATATATATTAAAAATAGTTTTGATACAACGGAATATATTAGTAAAATCTCGATCGCTATAACGGAACAATTGATTTACCGGAACGTGATGATATACATTTTCAAACCAATAAAATTGATTTCACGTGATACCGATAATATTTTTGAAATGTTTTATTAAAAAAGTAGGTAGAATAGATGATTTTCTTAAGCATCAGTTAGTTTTAATATATAAAACTTTCTGAAAATAAAATAACCTAAATTTTCGTGCACGTCGCGCACAAAATAAAAACTTGATATAACGGAATTTTTACCTGATTTTATATGAAATCCAGTATATCGAAATTTGACATCAGAAATCTCGATATACCGGATATTTTTACTGGAACGGATGACCTTTTCATCACACAAGTACACAACTAATAAAAAAAAAATGATTTTAGCTTTTATTAGAAAAATATTTTTTCATTTATTTCACAAAAATAATAAACGTACAATATTTGTAAAATGGTCATAAAAATTTGTTGCATTATTTCCACTAAATGTATTCTCTTTGGAAATAATAATTATTTAAGTTTTTGGCCTGTAATTCAATAAATAAGTTTGTTGTCATAATATTTTTAAAATATTATGATTTTTTTTATTGAAAGTCAATTTTATTACATAACGTACGAATGGTACGATCAATAATAAATTAGAATCACAGTTATTCATATACTGAAGTTAAATTTATGCGCTTGAATGGTAAATTTATATGTATAAATCAGGTTGGAGTTATCTTCTCTCGAAAATATATAAACGGTAGAGAAAACAGATGTTAAATACCCCATTAATAATGGAGCGGACACATTAAGACGCATCGAATCATCAAACAAATGATTTATTGATTGTTCAAATTTTCTTTTTATTAACTTTGACAGATTATAACTAATTAAAATAGAACTAGTAGGTGAGATAATCTTTTTTATATTATATTATGAGATTCATACTTCTGTATATATATACATTATACAGTATACTCCATGAATGTTAATATTTTTGTCTTAAATTTTATAAGTTTCATTTAATCTTATATTAAAATAACTTTGTTAAGAAAATATTTTCGTAACCTATATATTTGGTACCAATTTATTCAATAATAAAATTTACTACTAGCTTTGAAAGAAGATAATTTCGTAAAAAATTTTAATAAATTTTTTAAAAAATTACTATAACGCATTTTATTATTCGTTGGTATACTGTACTTGCCGTCGGAATTAATTACGGCATATGAAGCTTATACCGTAATATATTAAATCGCCGTAATTCCGTAATTATTTAATGTAAAAAATACAAAAATTACACAAAGTAAGTAAATATTTTTTTCTGGTTATGCCGCAGATAATTTGCAATCTGTAAACCTATAATGCTGGTCTCGATGATTTGTTATGCGATGCCGTAATTTCAACTCGTCAATTCCGACGGCGCCTATATTCGTTGAAAAAGAATCACCTCCGCTAAATAAATCAAAAACTAAACGTTATAAATAAGTTTTAAAGTTTTTAAAAATATGTTTTTTACAAAAAAAATTTCATAATAATGCATTTTCTAATAATTAAGTAGCGAACTTTTCCAAAGAAGAATATAATTGATAGGTGTGCAGTAGAAGTTTGCATTCCAGTTACTTTATTTCGTTAGCTAATTAATGAAAATGTGAAACATGTAAATGTTAAATTTCTAAAATTTTTAGAAATTATTTATACAAGCATAATAAGCCTGTACTGCACTTTATTCGGCTATTTTGATTTTAGTCAAGAAATCTTAATAAATTATTTTAATAATCCGCTTACAATTTATGAGTAGCAGTGACCAGGGATGTTAGGTAATTCGGAAGCAATTTGAACAATTTTTGAAACTGTCAAATCATATCTATGCTTGATAAGATAATGATAATCAGCTTGTTTACGCCTGTTCTTTAATAAAAGACTATATTTGAACAAGCCGATGAGTCGAATTACTTTACTCTAATAAGAAACTTTACTTACTTGAAAAATTCAATAAATTGTCAATAAAGAAAAAATGATCTCCAAAATGAGCAATTGTTTCGAACTATTTTGAATCAGAACCAGTATCTAAACCCTATATTCAGTACTTTACGATTTTGAAAACTGGTACGGTACATTTAATCAAATTCTCGATTCGCGAACTTAATATCCTCCCACCTCCCAGCTACCGTAAGAAAAATGTACAGTTTTATGTAAACAGCAATGGTATGAACGTATGATTTATTAAATAAAGAAAATTGAATATAATAATAAATAAATATCATAAAATAATAACAAATATAAATAAAAGAAAATAAAGGAAAATAAAGGAAAATAAAGAATAATGTTGCTTCATCCGGCAATCTGCAATATATCCGTAAGGTGTTCAATAAAAGACAAAACAATCAAACAACCAACGAACTATCTTCCAAACGGTCAGGCGTAAGTTATCCAAAGCATCAAGTTTAGTTTATCTCACAAGTCAACATATCGTAGGACTGTATGCTCAAAATCTCAAAAAACGGGACTAACATTTACTGCGTAACAGTTGGTTCCAACTCAAATTCAAAGCATCAAATCTTACAGTTTTCTAACAAACAAATAAATTAAATTTATGCTTGTAAATAAAACAAGAAAATTAGTTACAAGTTTTATACCTAGACTTTCACTTAATATAGGTTCATTATTATAATTTCTTTCTTCGTCTATCACAAACTTAGAGCTTAATTCTTCTTGATTTAAAATTCCGTCTAGCTTTGCAGAATAATCAATTTTTCTGCTTGTATAACAAGATGATGGATGACTTTTAGTAGTAGGTTCATTGACTAAAAAATTTAAATATATAAAATTAGATATAATAAACTACTTGCAATAAAAGTAAAAATTATATGAATTGTTTGAAATTTTTTTAACTTACTAGGAACAGGTATCCTATCATGAAGCCCAGGTTTTGGATAATAATCATACCAACAAGAAAGGATTTCAACTAATTCATCAGTTGTTGGTCTTTTATTAGGATCAGAATCCCAACATCTCTTCATTAGTCTTACGTACACCGGCAATGTACCTTCAACAATTTTCGGTCTCAATCCTCTACAAATATCTAAAGAAAGGTCAAAATCATGAGATCTATCATTAAAAGCAGGAATCCCTGATGTAAATTCCCACATAATGATTCCGAAAGAATAAATGTCGGCGGCTTTAGTATATGGTTTTCCACGTAAAATTTCTGGAGCCATGTAAGGAATTACTCCAAAAATTTCATTTGAATTAATAGTTTGATTTACTGGTCTGCTTAATCCAAAATCACTTAAATAATTGGTATCCCTACTATTTAAAAGTATGTTTCCACTATGAAAATCACCATGAACTAAATTACACTTGTGTAAAGTTAAAAGTGATATCGCAATACCCATTAAATTTCTATATTTTTCAAATTGGTTATATTTTTTTACTAGTAAATTAGATCTTAGATTTCCTCTATTTATTGATTTCATTACTATCATGTAATTCGATGTTTCTGGATCTTGAGTTATTCCAAATATGCGTGTAATTAGATAAGTGTCACTTTCATAAGCTGAATTGATACACCGTAAACAATTTCTCCACTAAAATTTGAAAGAAATACAAATAGTAATGTTGTTTATATGAACAAATGCGTAATGTTTTAAAATAACTTACTTCATTTAAGAAATCATCATTAATATTTGAAGAATCATTTAGACTTTTTAATATTACACGACGTCCTTTCACTTCATTTTTATTAAGAGGTGACTTGACGTCTTTTTCTTTTGCAATTTCATAATCATTTTCATTAAGACGATGAAGATGACCGGAATCTTGATTACATATTTGGAATTCATTACCCCACCCTGGTTTGTCTATTGCATCCAACCAAATAGCTCTATAAATAGTACTAAAACCACCTTTAGTAAGATATTTAATATTTCTTAATTTATTATAAGGAATCCATTCTATAACTTCAGGTTCACATCTTGCTTTTTGCTGAGTCTCTTGAATAAACTTGTCAATATATTTATTTCCACTAGTCCATTTATTAAAATCATGTTCAAATCCTCTCCTACTGCAATTTTTGCACCAATCATAATAGGTTTTTGGTTGTTTACAATCAGTGCAAAAACCATAATGTCGTTCAGGTACTACTTCTTGTTCACATTCATTTAAAGTACGTAAATTGGTATTTTCCGTCATTTTTAAATTTTTAGTCATATTTAATATATAAGTAGAATTTAATTACCTACAAAATAATTTTCTAACTATACTGAATATATATTCAGTATCTAAATTTATTAGATAAACTAATTACTGGAAATAAATTTATACTAAAATGTAAATGATATGCATTTACGCCATTTTCGGAGTTACAATAGCGAAGAATGATACACATTCGTTTGATCATCATTTCCGTATTCTAAATAGGGATGCTAAATGTTACGTTACGTTACATTACATTATTTAACTTACGTTGTAAGTTACATAGACTTGATGTAACATTACATCTATATGTTTACCAGAATTAAGCTGATTCGGCCAGCATTACTCAGTTAAAAACTAATTTTGGCCGAGTTATATAATTTATATGAAAGATTTGCATAAAAAAAAAATTGGGCGCAGTTTAATTACATAATTATTTTTTTGGTATGACCGATTAATAAAATTTTTTTAATTCTTTATTTTTTTTTTTAATGGGATCGGAATAGAGAAACTATTTGTAAGACCAAGAAGGAACACTAGAATTTACTTAAAGAGCTGAAACAGTTCTAATATTTTTTAAATTTTGTTGGAAACGGAGTTTTAGAAAACTAATTAAAAGACGAAATGGGTTAGTAGTATGAGGAAGAACGTCAGCATTTACTTAATGAACCATTAGTAATATTCTTCTTCTATTCGTAGGAAAACAGAGCTTTGGGAAACTGTTTAAAAGGCAAAATGAGTGAGTATGAGGGAACGTCAGCATTTACTTAATAAAACAGTACTATAAAACAGTACTAACGTTTTTCTTTAAATTTATAGAAATGGCAACGAACCGCTGATTGCATAATCATTTATTTTTAAATCGTAAGAAATACATATCAATCATCTAAATCTAAATCAAACTCATTTTCTTCATATTCTGTTAAAGTTTCGAAATTGCTATCAATGTCACCTTCCAGTTCTTTATCTGATTCTTCACCTAACTTTTCGTCATCTGATTCTAAATCACTCATTTTCACGCCACTTTTAATTAATTCTTTGACCGTAAGTGGCACTTCCAATTCTCGAAGAATTCTAATATTCCAATATATATATACTAATTTTTCTGCTCGATCAATAACCATTCTATTTAAAATTATATGTAGACCAATTTCTTTCACTTGCTGCTGAAGAAGCCGGAATTGATAAAACTTTAATTGCAACCGAACTAAGTAGTGGGTATCTTGACTTTAATAAATTCCACCAATTAATTGGCATTTGATTTAAACCACTCCACAAATTTTTTTAGCAAATCCTCCGTGTCTTCCTATATATTCACTTAATTCAATTAATACCCAACTTCATTCTCTTTTCCGGCAATACGTATAATTTCTTCTTCTATAATATCATGCCAATTACCACTATTTACTAGTTCTCCATTAAATCTAGGATCTAATCTATATGCAATAATAACCGCAGGATTATATAAAAAGTTGTCCCACCGATATTTAGCTCTATCTATTGAATATTCAACTAAATCATTTGGAATTTTATTATTTAATAAAATGTTATCGTATAGATGTTAAATGTAATCATATGTTTAATGTAATACATTATAAAAGGATTATAATATATATATATAATTTCAATATCTCGTAATGTAACAAAAGCTGATGAAAGATAAGGTTCGTTTCCTTCTAATTTTCGTATAAAATTTATAAACAGTTCCAAAAAATCACGAAGATTTTTATGTTCTTCCCAAAAACAATCATCAATAATGTAATTTTTAATTTCTTGATTTAAAATAATATTTTCTTCCGCCAACAATGCTCTCATTGCAATTTTTGTTTTCAAAATATGATCTAAACACTCAAACACTGACATCCATCTTGTTTCAACAGTTAATGTTAAAGCAACTTAATATCCATACTTTTCTTTTTGTATTCTCCAAAGTGTAGCTAATGGAATTTGGTGATTACGAAAATATAAAGCCAATCGTTTCGCTTTTTCTAAGATATCATTAGCCCATTTGTGTTTCATTATATCTTTTACCCACAAATTAATTACATGTGCCCAACATCCAAGAAAAATCTTATCAGCATACTTTTCTTTAAGTATTCTCCATGCTGATTTCATATTATTAGCATTATCAGTTATTACAGCCGTAAATTTGTCAATTCCAATTGATATCACACATTCTTCTATACCTTTGGCTATATTTTCCCCAGTATGATGCTCTTCTTTTGTATATACTGATTTATAAAAAATAGGTTTTTGAGTGGTTATCATGAAATTAACTATTGGAGCTTTATTTACATTTGACCATCCATCACTAGTTATACAAAAATATGGTGTTTCATTAAAAAAATTTCGGACTAATTTTTTCAAATCTTTATATTCTTTATTTAGTAAATTACCAGATAATGTGTGATGTGATGGAATGTGAAATGAAAAACATGCTTTTGTAAAAATGCTTGAAAATCAACATTTTCTATTACATTAAAAGGAATTCCAGTACTGCAAAATGCACGAACTAATAATGATTCTAATTCTTCCTGATCTTGTTTTGTAAAAGAAGGTATATAGTGATTTAAAGTAGCTTGTTTACGTTTATTAGTTTGGTTTACAGTAGGTTCAGGTTCAGATACGATGGATTCCATTGTAATTTTCCTTGCAAGACAAGTATTAAGATGTTCTTGTAATCTTGTCGCGTTTTTTGCCCATTTAGAATTACAATATATGCATTTATATCATTTTTTTCATTGGAATCTATTGTTTCTTCAAACTCTGACCAGAAAGAATATCTTTGTTTCAGCATTTTTTTAAAAATTGATTATCTTTGATCATCTTTAATTTATATCAAATTGAATGTTACAATAAAATAGTGTAACGTAACGTAACTTATAGAAAATCACCGTAACGTAACAATAAATTTCATAAATTACAGTAATTTACCATCCCTAATTCTAAATTTTGTAAAATTAATTCCGATGGCCGGAAAAATTTAAAATGGAAACTTCATAATATATTACATAATCAATAGAAAGATAGCACTCGAGCTCTAATACTTTTTCTTTTCTTTTTACTCCAAATATTACTCACTATTATATCTTGTATTTTCTATAACGATAATAATTATTTTTCGGCTAACTACACCATTATATCAGTAATTTATTATATTGGATTTTATGACAGATTTATTTTTAACAAAATTACGAAATTACGTGAGAAATAATGAGTTAAACTTTTCAAGCTTAAATAAAGTACAATTGTAGATTATTATGTTTAAAGTAATTAAGTTTGAAAATAAAATATGCCTGAATATTCATTTCAGTTTCCGGACAGGTCAGGGTTACTTCCTCTTACTACTACAAAGCCTAAAAAACCGATAAAATTCAAAAACATTATATTTTAAATTAAAAAATGTATCTTCCACAATTTTATAAACATCATTTGTACCGGTCAAAAAATTTTAAATTGATTAGAATTTTAAATGATTTTTTTTTTATATAAAAAAAAAATAAAAGAAAAAAAAAAAATTTTAATAGCGTATTTTTCATTGCTAATAATACATTATTTAATGCGTCTTTATTTAACATTCACTTGGTTTTGCTAATTGTCTCGTTATTTATTTCTACGTTTAATTTAATATAATCGTTTTAAAGGGAAATAAAAATAAATTTAGCGTTATACGCAAAGTTACTACCGCGTGTGTAATAATGGATTATAAAAGTAAAGTACGTATCTAAAATACCAAAAGGGAAAATCCATCTGATCTGAAATATTTGTTACACAAATCTTGAATCAAAATTATTAGTATTGTTATAAACTTGGCGAAACGAAATGCATGCAAAAAAGATTGATTTTTTATTCGTGCAATACATTATTGCTGCTATTATTATACAAAATAAATAAATAATATATCGGTATGTATAAAAATATTTCATCCTTAATTTAAGAGTTGATTGATTGAATGCCTTACCAGTCCTTGGATAGCGAGGAGTAATTCTGACGGCGGTGTTATTGGTGTTATTACAGCTATTTTCATAAGACCTGGGACAAAATAAATTTTTGAACCCGACCGCCGAACCCACTGATCCGGTTCAGTTGTTATTTATTTTACAAATCAAACTATCAAATCAGGATCACGTGCCCAGCTAAAAATACCGGATCGGCGGATCGGGTTCAAAAATTTAGTTTGTCCCAGGTCTTATGAAAACAGCTGTAACAAGTAACTTAACTCCGTCCTATAATCCCCTTATAAAAAAAAGGATGTCCGGAAATGTCCAGGTGTCCGGAAAATGTCTGGAAAATTGTAATATCCGGACACTTTCTGGAGAGCCCTCTTGGACATTTTCCGGGTATTTTCGGATATTCTTTTTTTATAGGGTGGATTAATGGTGAGATCTAAAAT